GGAGGACACATGGGCTGTGTCGGATGGAGGGTTGGCTGGAGGACACATGGGCTGTGTGGGAGGGAGGGTGACTGGAGGACACATGACACATGGACTGTGTGGGAGGGAGGGTGACTGGAGGACACATGGGCTGTGTAGGAGGGAGGGTGACTGGAGGACACATGGGCTGTGTGGGAGGGAGGGTGACTGGAGGACACATGACACATGGGCTGTGTGGGAGGGAGGGTGACTGGAGGACACATGGGCTGTGTGGGAGGGAGGGTGACTGGAGGACACATGGACTGTGTCGGATGGAGGGTTGGCTGGAGGACACATGGACTGTGTGGGAGGGAGGGTGACTGGAGGACGCATGGACTGTGGGGGAGGGAGGGTGACTGGAGGACACATGGGCTGTGTGTGAGGGAGGGGTGACTGGAGGACACATGGGCTGTGTGTGAGGGAGGGGTGACTGGAGGACGCATGGACTGTGGGGGAGGGAGGGTGACTTGAGGACACATGGGCTGTGTCAGAGGGAGGGGTGACTGGAGGACACATGGGCTGTGTGGGAGGGAGGTGTGACTGGAGGACACATGGGCTGTGTGGGAGGGAGGGGTGACTGGAGGACACATGGGCTGTGTGGGAGGGAGGTGTGACTGGAGGACACATGGGCTGTGTGGGAGGGAGGGTGACCGGAGGACACATGGACTGTGTGTGAGGGAGGGTGACTGGAGGACACATGGGCTGTGTGGGAGGGAAGGTGACTGGAGGACACATGGGCTGTGTGGGAGGGAGGTGTGACTGGAGGACACATGGGCTGTGTGGGAGGGAGGGGTGACTGGAGGACACATGGACTGTGTAGGAGGGAGGGTGACTGGAGGACACATGACACATGGGCTGTGTGGGAGGGAGGGGTGACTGGAGGACACATGGGCTGTGTGGGAGGGAGGGGTGACTGGAGGACACATGGAGTGTGTAGGAGGGAGGGTGACTGGAGGACACATGACACATGGGCTGTGTGGGAGGGAGGGGTGACTGGAGGACACATGGGCTGTGTGGGAGGGAGGGTGACTGGAGGACACATGGAGTGTGTGGGAGGGAGGTGTGACTGGAGGACACATGACACATGGGCTGTGTAGGAGGGAGGGTGACTGGAGGACACATGGGCTGTGTGGGAGGGAGGTGTGACTGGAGGACACATGACACATGGGCTGTGTAGGAGGGAGGGTGACTGGAGGACACATGGGCTGTGTGGGAGGGAGGGTGACTGGAGGACACATGGAGTGTGTGGGAGGGAGGGTGACTGGAGGACACATGACACATGGGCTGTGTAGGAGGGAGGGTGACTGGAGGACACATGGGCTGTGTGGGAGGGAGGTGTGACTGGAGGACACATGGACTGTGTGGGAGGGAGGTGTGACTGGAGGACACATGGACTGTGTGGGAGGGAGGGTGACTGGAGGACACATGGGCTGTGTAGGAGTAAGAGGTGACTGGAGGACACATGGGCTGTGTGGGAGGGAGGTGTGACTGGAGGACACATGGGCTGTGTGGGAGGGAGGTGTGACTGGAGGACACATGGACTGTGTGGGAGGGAGGGGTGACTGGAGGACACATGGGCTGTGTGGGAGGGAGGGGTGACTGGAGGACACATGGGCTGTGTGGGAGGGAGGCCTAGGGTGACTGGAGGACACATGGGCCGGGTGGGAGGGAGGGGTGACTGGAGGACACATGGACTGTGTGGGAGGGAGGGTGACTGGAGGACACATGGGCCGGGTGGGAGGGAGGGTGACTGGAGGACACATGGACTGTGTGTGAGGGAGGGTGACTGGAGGACACATAGGCTGTGTAGGAGTAAGAGGTGACTGGAGGACACATGGGCTGTGTGGGAGGGAGGGTGACTGGAGGACACATGGGCTGTGTGGGAGGGAGGGGTGACTGGAGGACACATGGACTGTGTGGGAGGGAGGGTGACTGGAGGACACATGGACTGTGTGGGAGGGAGGGTGACTGGAGGACACATGGACTGTGTGGGAGGGAGGCCTAGGGTGACTGGAGGACACATGGAGTGTGTAGGAGGGAGGGTGACTGGAGGACACATGGGCTGTGTGGGAGGGAGGTGTGACTGGAGGACACATGACACATGGGCTGTGTGGGAGGGAGGTGTGACTGGAGGACACATGGGCCGGGTGGGAGGGAGGGTGACTGGAGGACACATGGGCTGTGTGGGAGGGAGGGTGACTGGAGGACACATGGGCTGTGTGGGAGGGAGGGGTGACTGGAGGACACATGGGCTGTGTGGGAGGGAGGGTGACTGGAGGACACATGGACTGTGTGGTAGGGAGGGTGACTGGAGGACACATGGGCTGTGTAGGAGTAAGAGGTGACTGGAGGACACATGGGCTGTGTAGGAGTAAGAGGTGACTGGAGGACACATGGGCTGTGTAGGAGTAAGAGGTGACTGGAGGACACATGGGCTGTGTGGGAGGGAGGGGTGACTGGCAGACACATGGACTTTTGTCATAGGGAGGGGTGACTGGCGGACACATGGACTGTGTAGGAGGGAGAGGTGACTGGAGGACACATGGACTTTTGTCGGAGGGAGGGGTGACTGGGGGACACATGGGGTGTGGGGGAGGGAGGGTGACTGGAGGACACATGGACTGTGTCGGAGGGAGGGGTGATTTGAGGACACATGACACCTAGACTGAGTAGGGGGAGGGACGACTGGAGGACACATGACATAGTCTGTGTAGGAGGTGGAGGTAACTGGAAGACACATGACATGGGCTGTGCATGAAGGAGAGGTGTTTGGAGAAATGTGTTGAAAACAATCAAGAGAAATGATTATAGCACTACTATTTCCTATGGCTTTTCATGACTAACATCTTGTTTTGTCAGGTATAGGTTTAACACTGGCTGTGTATATTTTCTCATGGGTGTAGACTTTATATGGCTTCCTGACACATCTTCATGGCATTTCTTACACAAAACTCTCACAAATAACAGCTGAAGCTAAAGGACAGGCCTTTAATAACAGGGAGTGGGCATGGCTCCATTGAAAGCGTAGTGATACTCAAAATGAGTGACAGGCCATGCCTGAGTGTTTGTATATTTGTGTCATGAAATGATGTTTTTTGGCAAAGCTGAAGGTTCCAATTAAAATCCCAGAAATCAATATTGCTACAGTCCAATGCCTCTCCATGTATTCCGTGACCCTCAGAGAACGGTGTACTGTTTCAGGCTCCACACCCAAAACCCATATTTGGCTATGATAATGCTGGTCTGGGGCACTTTAATGTTGACACTGGTGTCAATAGACAGCAAAACAATAGTAGGGAGTTTTCTATAAAGGTCACACTTGTAGAAGAGTGAGTGAGTGAGTTGGGTTTAACGCCGCTTTTAACAATATTCCAGTTATATTGCGGCGTGTCAGCCTAATGTGGGAGGAAAGCCCGAAGTGATGCAGGTCTCAGACGTTCACCACTTCGGTGAAACCCAGAGCACGGGTATGGTGCTGACAACCTAGAAACAGAACACTTGTAGAAGAAAGATGAAAAAATATGTGCTGCCTTGCTGAAGATGGCCTTACTCACAATCTGATACCTATCATAAAACTTGCATGAGCTCTTATCTGTGGTGTGTAAGCCATCTTTTTCAGACAGGATACCTGGCACACTGACAATTTACAGGTGGCAGTGTCAAATATGTCTCAATGGATGAACATATTTACGTTTTCACCACAAATTTTCACTACTAATTAGTATTTGATGTAACGTTTATTATAGCAAACATTTAAGGTATGAATCGATATTTTTTACTTAGAATGCGACTGTGATCTATACTTGTACTGAGAAGTAAAAAATCACTATCCACCAATGCATCGATGTATCGCCCCACCACTACTCATCATATGGTGAGTGAGTGGGTCTAATCCCTAAACAGTCAGCAATTGTACAGATATGCCATGAAAGACATGCCCAGTGTGATCAGCTCTGAATATAGCAAACCATAGCTAAATAGCAACAACATTATCAAAACTGTAGGACAAATGCAGCAAGTTTCACTTAACTTAAAACCACTCCGAATACCAATCACACTTTTCTTCAGGTCATCAAAGACATTCCTGTTGGACAAGTACCTGTGATGTCATCTAATATCTCATGTTTTTGTTTCGTTTGTTTGGTTTTTAACGCTACACTCAGCAACAGTCCAGCGATATAACGGCGGTCTGTAAATAAATCGAGTCTAGACCAGACATTCAGTGATTGACATCATGAGCATCGATCCAGGCAATTGGGATACGATGACACGCACCAACCAAGTCAGCAAGTCTGACCACCCGATCCCATTAGTCGCCTCTTATGACAAGCATAGTCGCCTGGGATGCCGAAGACCAATGTAACTCCACTGTGGATGCCATATCAGAATGGCTATGATATGGCAATAATAGTTGCAGAAAAAGCGTTGAGGGACGTCAGAATATAGGTCCCCAGTATCTCCTGCCTTTCATTAGAGCCGACTAAAATGGGGATCAGATCTATACTTCCAAGTGCATACTTCCATACCAGGGAAGTTCAATAGGGCTATACTTCCAAGTGCATACTTCCATACCAGAGTAGTTAAATTTGTACATGATGTGTTTATTGTAAATATCTTGTGGGATTATTGAAAGGGTTGAATTTCCGTTTTCAGTTATAGTTTTCATTTGAGGGGTTTCTTCTCCTCACCAGGATCTGTGACTTGGCAGACTGGGTGTCATCATACTTTGATGGCGTGGATCGTTGCTCATGCCTCCAGTCATTGGTCTACCATCCAGACATGATTATTTAGAGGCTGCCATGATATGACTTGCATTCTGCTTATTGCAGTCTCAAACATCACTCCCTCTATCTGGCAATCCCATGCAAATGTGGTCGGTTTTAAAGAGTCTGTATTAAAACACTAAAATACCTGTGTTGTGTTGACTGGTCCTCAGGTGCATGATCATGACATTATGTTTTACAGACTGCAAACATCCTTACCTTGAGAAATCAATGAAGGCTACATGTCCATGATACAGTGCCGGCTTCTTCTCTGTCCAGCTGGTGATGTTAGTGATGAACCTCATCTGGAAACAACATCATGTTGGATAGGTCAAACAAACCACAAAACATTTCTGTAACGTAATTAAACCCTTTACACAAAAACACTTTAACCGAGATGATCTGAAATTTCTTTTCTTTTCCTGGAAGTCAATTTAAATATCTCTTCTTTGATGTCGTGTTTGGACATGCCATCAGTTGTAACCTAGTTGGTTCGATTCAAAGGAACCTGTGTATCACCAACTGATCATACACATCAACATAACAATTTACTCTTCATCACACACATTTCTTGGACATTTCGCACACTGTGGATTAATTGATTTTACAAATTCCCATACAGTCATCCATCAAAAAGAGAGTCAGTGATTTGAGGAAGTCCTTCTTGTTCTAGACAAACTAAACATTCAATCCTTCCTGTTAGATGACAGGGACGGTAGGGTAGCCTGGTGGTTAAAGCGTTCGCTCGTCACACCGAAGACCCTGGTTCGATTCCAGACATGGGTACAATGTGTGAAGCCCATTTCTGGTGTGCTGGAATATTGCTAAAAGCGGCGTAAAACCATACTCACTCACTGTTAGATGACAGTGTCAGCCAAAAGGGAATGCTTAACTCGACATATCTTTCTAACACTTTTATAATAAATTGTCATAGTTGTCTTTATTGTGTTGCATATCCAATTCATAAGAATTTAACTTATTGCTATGTGGCTGCAATATTGCTGATGCGACATAAAGGGTTCACTCACTCATTCACCTATTTCCTTCATGGCTTATCATTATATTTGGTCGTGAATAAACATCAGGCAATTATATTTGCTCCATTGAAACAGCCTTTCAAACAATGGCATCACAAACACCTGGAGTGGATGACATCTGCTTACACAACAACCCTAGCAATATTGGCGAGTGACTAGGTGTACCTCTATCAAGATAGGACATATTTCACCTCTTGAGAACATACAAGAGATGTAACCTCAAACAAGTGCAAGCTGGGGTACATGAACAGGGACTTGTGATAAACACTGTCAAAGAAAAAAGCTTGTGAGTGAAAGAGTTGCAAGCACGAAGAACATGAAGAACATCTTTCCAGTGTCATCTGACAAGAAATGTATCATCACAAGTAAACAAAGTAGCAAAACTCAAGCACAGATATCTATAGTTTGTGTATCATTCTCAATTTTCAAAAAATGTTGTAAACTTGACAATTTGCTGGATGCCTTATGGGGGCGGATCCACGATTTTCCAATAAGGGTGTTCACGGTGTTCATTTAATGAAAAAACAGTAAGTCTGTCGGACCTTGATAAATCTTATCTAAGAGTCCGTCTTTGATATGGGAGTCCAGAATTTTATATCATGTGCAAGTTGCCTGGAGCTGTTTGAGACATGTATTATATTGTTATATATAACTTGAAATAATATGGTTCAAAGGAGAGAAAAACATGGCAAAAGGAAAATGCCTTTTTTCACTTTGGTTAAAAAAGGGTGAAATCTGAGACATATTGTACTTGATAATCAATAGAGAAACTTTACTGCAGAAATATTACTTCCGCTTGTAAGAAACCTGAACTATTCACTCGTTTTATAAAATTGGTATTACACAGGAGCTTGTTTAGTATTCTATGTATATATAAATATATCACATACCTCATTATAATGAAATGGTTATGAGTGTTTAACATCAATCGTAATAAATTAATAATTTTGATACACCACAAGAAATGCCTATTCAATAAAAACAACAATATGTTGTACTCTTACACTGAGGTTACATATTGGCATTATTCCTACCAGTGTTCCAGTAATACAGGGGGGCACGGGTGGCCCAGTCGTCTAAGGCGCCGTAATTCGCTGTGCAGAGTTGCGTCCCTTGGGCACGCCAGAAACCTATGATTGTGAGTTCGAATCCCTGTTCATGTTTCTAGGTTTGTCAGCACCATACCCGTGCTCGTGGGTTTCACCGAACTGGTAAATGTGTGAGACCTGCATCACTTTGGGATTTCCTCCCACATTAAGCCGACATGCCGTGATATAACTGGAATACTGTTAAGAGCCGCATTAAACCCAAATCACTAACTCCAGTAATACAAATGTATCCCAATGAGTATCAGTTTCTGGTTCATTTCTACATTCAACAATATTATCTATTCTCCAACCCCATAATTTCCCCTATGCCTTATATTATTATCTCTGTTTTTTCAAGTTCAAGATTTCATAAAGAGCAGTTTAACAGCATTCCAACAGGTTTACAATCCAAAGATAGGTGAAATTTTGACCTGACCATCTGTTTTTATAAAATTTTGACCTTACCACCTGTTTTTGTAACACAGTCTGTTCCAAAACGACAATCCTTCTTCCCACTTAAATGTTTTTTTAAGAGAATGACGGTTTTGTGGTTACTCGAGAGAGGGGTTACAAAAATACCTCAGAACAGTCCCACTTGTTCTGAATCTAGTTTAGGTATAACATTATTTGGAGAAAAAACTCTCCTGGCTCCATTATCAACATAAAGGGTGGATGTGATGTGTTGTCATAACATGATACTCACTCCGGCAAAATGTCTCCCTTTCTAAAAGTCACTGTAATAATGTCAAAGTGCTCCATGGAATATTGCCGTAAGATAATAAAGAGAGAAGCACTGAACCTTTACAAGCCACAAGGGGGATATAACAATCTGGGAACAATTCTAGATGGTATGGTATACACTACTGACAAAAAAAAGAGGAAACGCATGAAATTAAGGTGATGCTTGACAGTGGATTGGAAGGACGAGGATATAATTTGGGGAGGGGTGGTTTATGTTAGCACATGCTTGACGTCTTGCATGCTTGATAGAGCCTGTTTTTCACTGTTGATGTTCCTTTTCCCCTCATGGAATGAAACTCTGTCATGTTACCCGAGGCAGATTTGAATCCTTTGCAATTAATGTAATGAGATGATACCGTTTTTATGCTTGCCATCCCCCGGTCTCATTTTAACACCCCAAGATTGACGATACTGGTTCCACAGGCAAGAAATGACACTTTTGGACATGCCATGTATTTGGAGAACTTGTGATATTTTTATTGCTCATATAATTTGCCATTTCGTATTTTTATCAAGGCATTTTCACATGTTCGCAAAGCTCAAATGTGCATATACATATACATCATGATGTTTTTGCATGTTGCAAGATTTGTTTGTGATAGGAGATCACATCAAGATGCTATGCACCTGTTTCACAGCGGCCAATCTCAGTTATGTTCATAGTACAAATCCATAGTTCCCTTATTTTATGTCGGTAGTATATCTTCTGAATCCCAATCATGTGGGCAAAAAGAATATGGTGAGAAGGATTTTTCTTTCAATATGAATTATCAAGCATGGGAACAAGGACATTAAAATCATACTTATGATTGAATTTTTTTTAATAACAATACTTCATCAAGTGAATGATTGAGTTGGTTTATGTCATGACAAACCATTAAACATAATCAGGCAATTATGGTATCTGAACCCAAGATAGTTTGTTCCTGTGACACGTAAGGGATGCAACTCTGATTGGCAACTTCCAGAGCCTTTGACGACAGGGCCACCTGTGCCCATCTTAATTTCAAGATCTATGTAACTGGACAGAATGTGGTGATACGGCTGATCTTTTTCTCCAGTGACATCCACAGTCGAATGATCTTTAGGTTTAAAACATAACTGATGATGTGGCTACCATAATGAAACCCACCACACTAACACACAACTGCACAACCGAAAACGTAGCCACGAAACTGTAATATTTATCTTTTCTCTTGTCTGATTTGCTTTAGAAATGAAAAAATTGAAACACAATGTTATCAATGAATAAAGCTGCACTGCTAGACCTGGTCTCCAGTTGGTCTGACAACAGCTCGGCAGAATCCAACACAGCTCAAACTCCATCGATCAAGGTAGGTGTCCACTCAGACAAAAGAATCTAATATTTCAGGTTGATTAGTGTAAAACACTGATGACAACAAGCAGCAGGTTTTGTTTTGCTTCCAGTGATTGCTTCCTGATTTATCACTTGCCTGTCCCGAAGGTGACAGATTCCACCCAGGACCCAACATGTGGGAAAACTCGGCACACCATTTGGCGCCATCTGGGCTCCATGACGCAAAATTAAACTGCAACAACTTGGAATTAAATGTCATCACTTATAAGTTCAAAAGGAAGCGGTTTGTTTCTATTGATTTCTGTACATAGGTTGTGGTATCAGGGAAAGAAAGTTTCTAACCTATTACACAGGATTCCATCTTCATACACACAGGATTAGGTTTCTAACAAATGAATGAAGATATGTTAGATACAGTCTTCCGATTCAGGACAAATAATGGCACTCTCCTAGGCATGACACTCATCTAAGTTTGAATATTGTATGGTGATATTTGTCACACAACATATAACAGCCTTCACTTGCAGTTGACTGCAGGAAATGCTCATTTATATTGAAGAAAAACTTTGTAAGACAACTTCAAAACGTTGTGCACTTCATAGGGCAGGGCTATCACTCTTGTCTTTCATCATATCCCATTGGTCTTCTTGTCAAAGATGCTAAAATGTCCAACTTCAAAACCACCATTTTATCTCTCGGTATTACAACAGCTCTAGGTTAGACATGTGATCCTTCAAACTTAAGTTTTTGGGATTCATCATGACTTTTTAAAACTACCATATTGTGTTTGATTGATCATCTAAGCAATACAAAACATAGGGAACGAAAGGTATTTAGAATATTTTCAAACAGTAAAAGTATCTGTATTGTTTTCACTCTTGTTTTGTTGAGATCATGGACTGATTGATATCATTTCAAATTTCTTTGATGACACCACACAAACGCAGGATGTACCTTGCAAGCTTTCTACGAAATTTAACTTTCATCATTATTTTTGGGTGTGGTGAATGCATCATCGGCTGAAAACCATGAGAGTAAAAGTCAATAACAAAAGCCAGATGACTTCAACCACTTGTCTAGGTTACTAAGTTATATTTCCCTCATGGTACGATGACAACCTA